CTCGACCCATGCGCACATTAATGCGTGAATCGACACAGAAACCAGGGAACCAGTCGTCTCGTTTGCTTACCACGAACTCACTCTCTACGGTCGGCTTGATGGTCACGATTCGTATCGCTACAAATTGTCTATGAGATCCCGTGCGTGTAATAAAGGCGTTTAAGACGTTCATTCACGCGCTTTCATTCGTTTCTTCATTCGATACTCGCGTTAGTCGATGCTAATTCCTCGCCCTGCATGCCTAATCACTAATCAGACGAATCGGTCTACATAGAGCGGTTCAGCTAGTTTCATCCTTTTTAACGATTTTTCGATATAATTTTAAACAAGTATTGGCAAAAATGTACATGTACTGATAAATTTTAACGACAGTTATTCGCTTCGTTGACATTTATAGCAATACAAGCTTCTACTATTAGAACTATTATTCTCCTCGTAGCGTTGTAAGGTGGAAGACCTTCGTCGATGAACTCTGTATCGAGCAGGACCAACCGCACGTCTCGGATCGAGCAATCGAATCGGCTTTTGGGATGTCCCAGTCGCGCGACCCAGAAACCTCCTGTGGGTCCCGGAATTTCTTTCATGCCGGCTTTCTTAAAAATGAGTCACGATTTTCATCGCGATACCAGAACGGAGACGAGTAAACGAAGAGCGTTTCGACGCTTCGAAGCGACGCCGACGTATCTCGAAGGAACGCGAGTCCTGCGTAATACGTCTGCCAAATTGTTCAATTTTCTGGCGTCTTGCGCGAAAAGATAACGACGATAACGAGCCCTGGGTACCGTTAGCGTGGGTTTACTTGGCTCGTCCCATTAGACTGTGCGCAAACTGAGAGAACGCGGTGACATGTTGGATGTTGCATTTCAAGCGATCGCCAATGACCTAAAGACACGTATTCACTTGGTTGCCAAGTACTCGTTTTCTATAATCATTCCCATGTTAATTGTCTTTCTTCGAACAAGCGTTAACTTTCTTTCAACACCTTCTATGAACGTTAGACACGCCGCGCCGCGACCGTTCACCCAGTTTATAACGACATCCGATCGTGCGTTTCGAGCTGGTCGACTTTGTATTCTTCGCGTAATCTAATTTGAAATTACAAGTGATGTCTTTGTGCTTCCCTTTAAGTTCACAGCTAACTTTACCATGCTCTCCACGAATCGATTAGAAATTTCTTCGGCCGATCACTTCGATCTTGTTCCACCGTGTTTTTCCCGTACTAATTTATTTCGTTAACAAACTCCTGTATGACAGCGACATAATTATCACTAAAGATCCAAATATTACAATATACGTTATAATAGTTCTTTCCTTTACATCATTTCTCGTTTCTCAATGAGAAATGGTCAGTAATATTAATTTCGCAATGTAGGTCAAACACGTGGCTCGAAATTATTTGTAGGCAGAAAAAGAAATTCAGATATGGACAACTATTTATTTGGAACTTTTATTTTTAAAATTCTCGATGCTAAATGCACAAATTTCAGGTGAATTATTTTGTCTTACAATTAGTGGTGTGGGAACAATATTATTTGATTTAGAACAAGACAACATTCTTCAAGCTTTCACATTTCTAAAATTAATATTCAGAATAACTATGGCATTCATTAAATTAAAATAATAAAAACACCATGTTGAAGATTAATACTAGCATATTAATTGTAAATTCTCTTTTACATGCTATTAGTTTTAATTCCACACCCTCTAATATTACTCTAATATTATCCCTGCATTACCATTTACCAATTCTCTTATCAGAAACGAATAAAAGCTTGGAAAGAGTTAATCTTTTGCTAGTGAATAATTACGACCAATTGCATTTATGGTTCTCTTCGATTTAACACTATGTTTAACTATGACACGAGAAGGAAAGGAATATTGTGCTTCCAACAAAATAAAGAAAACGAAAAAGAAAAAGAAAAAAGTAGATACACCTTACACATGAATGACACGAACGGGTTCCCTCCCCTACTCGGAATTTCTGATAGTAACTTACCTTCGCCGCTCTGTTCCTCGAGATCGTCGGCCCTTGCTGGGTTCTGCATGTCGTCGACAATCTCGGCCACAAAGTTGCCAGCCTGCTCGATGACCGCGCTCATCGGCGTCTCGCTCTTCTCCCCGGTCACCTGCATCTCGATCCGATCGATGTCTCTGGCGAGCCTCGTTCTCAAGCATCCCATCGCGTTGTCCTCGAGCACACACTCCAGGACACTCCCGTCCTCCTGTTTCCTCTCGAACGATTCACCCTGGACGTACAGGGCGAGTCCTACCACCAGACAGACGGACACTATCCTCATGATTGCTGTCGTGAATTCGAAAATGGACACTGTTCACCACCGCGATATATGCACCCACGGGCCTCCTGATCTCCACCCTTGCTCGTTATTTTCTTTAATTCGCGCTCGACCTTCCGCTTTTTATATCCTTGGACCGCGTGTCACGGGCGCCAAGTGGTTGTGGAAGGCGCGTGGTCGAACATATATGAGAGTCTAACCCCTTCCTTCTGGACTTCCGCCAATCAACCTGGTCCTGTTTCGAGTGAGAACCGACCGGCATCCCCCCACCGCCGGTATTTCGTGGGCACACATCGTTCCAAGTTCGAACCCAGCGGCGCCAACGTCTGGGTCTCCTCGAGGAATTCTGGACACCCAATTCTGGGGCCCGCTCGATTGCTAGTTTTTCGTTTAGACGTCAAGCAGCCCGAAATTACCCTTCGAGCATACATAAGGCTATCGATTCTTTAATTAGTATGTTGCGAATGTTCACTGCACAAATTCTATTCTTTCTTATTAATTTTATATTTATTTGAATTTTAAAAAATAATGTACATTATTTCGTCGCGTTTCTCAACTTTTTTTTCATGAAGTTAATCGATTTGTGCAATGATGGGCGGAAATGAAGATACTCTTGAAATTTTATATAATTTTCTATTTGTGTACATTCTCATTGATTTTACCATGTTTTTATTTGCTATAACCGCGTAAACATCCGCAGTCTGATTATTAGCAGCATTTTGCACGTGTGGTTGATCGTTGAATATTAATTTGTACACACATACATGTATACTTTGTTTAAATTACATTTTATAGAAGTGCTATAAATAATAGCCACAAAAATACATTATCAACTAATCGATCTTTCATTATTTCTCCAAATAAAGATACCAATTCGAATTGTACAACCAAAATAAGATCCTCGTTGAACGAATAACTGTTCGATCGAATCAAGATTGCGCACAAATCCGTATACATAGTTTCGACTCGTCATTTATTATTCAAACAAAACTCCACTTATCTCTGCTTTGCATACGTTAATTGCCATTCCGTTAAAATCGTTACGCGTGCCGAAAATCCGATTCTTCTCGTGGGAATGCACTTTTTATACCGCTTCTTCGGATAAAGAATCGAAGAAAAGAAAGAAAATAATGGATTTAGGATTGCGCTAGTGTAACTTGGCACGCGTGTGAGTCACGTATGTGGACCCACGACAGAAATTCCGTTTGAAACTATGGCGGGATGCTAATACAACCTAATTCCGACCATTTTTATCGTTATTTAAAGAACGAAGAGACACGGAAACGTAGTGAAATCGTTGCTTTCGAAACGCGCCATGGGATCAAGAATGACGCGCATTTTTTATTCGGCTTTGTCGCGCTGCGTTTAATTTTCTTTTCATTTTCGATAAAGTGATGAACGTGAGAAACGTGAAATTGATCAGACCGATACATGTAAAATCGTCAAGCGAAATGTAATACAATCTGTTTTATTATGGATGTAAATCGAATAGTTAAAAACTGGTTCGATTATAAATTAGATCTCTTGCTAACACTGACAACGCTAATTTATAACTAGTTGCTACGAGTCTTTCACACCACTGTTTACACATTCGTCGAGCCTTTTAGTAATCGTATAAGCGAGTGTAAAACGTCGCGCGCACACGCGACAATTACAAATGGTCTTTTGCATAGAGTAAATACCAATACGTAAATTGTGTGGACAGCAATTTCAAAGTTGTTGTGACAGTTGTTTTGTTAGGCAGAGACACGCGAGTCGGAGCGCCTTTAACAGGCGGAACGCCTTTATTATGGTAATCGAAAAGAGCAGAATTCACGTAATGCCAGAGCAGAGGTGCGTGATGTTTATTCGGCCATACAAAACCAAGTTGAAAAGAACAATTCTTGGTCTTTCAGATTTATATTATATTAAACCTGTTTCTTCGTTACATACTTCATATTTCAAGAATTATGTAATCTAAATTAAAATATTTTTCTGAGACTCTCAATTTAATTAAAAAGAAATACATTTTCTTATCTTTAGAAACATCGAAATTTGATCCTGAAATAGATCATTTTTATTTTAAATGACGTCATTTTGTCAGTTTTCATTTTTTTTGTCCGTAAATATAGATATAGAGCGTCAAGTTTTCCATAAATTTCAATAATTCACATATAATTAGAAACTTTGGGATATTTTTAGAGGTACGATAGTACATGCAGTGAAAGCGGTTTATCGCGGTGCGCGTCACAGCGTCCTAATACCACTGTCGAATGCTATTCTAGCTATAAAAATTCTAAAATATTTGGATAACGTAAAAAGCTATGTGGCTAATTCGAGGAAGTTCTGGTTTATACTTTCTCTCGAAAAAAATTCTCAAAGATGGCCTATTTTTCGGAACGGTGCGATGCCATCGCCGACGCGAGAAGACCACATAATTGGCATGCCGTAATATTACCTTGAAACTAATGACTGGTGAAACTAGATTATTTGCAGAACGAGTTTCACACGTTGGACATGGTTTGACGTTAGAAAGACCAATTCCAAAGAATTTGTCACCAGCAGTGAACTAGATTGCTCGAGCGTCGTCAAACAAATCCATGTGTTGGCATCAATTTCCAATACGGGAAGAAATTAATCAGACACATTAATACAATTTTCAGATTTATTTAATTTCTAATAGAAGCTGATAAATAGATAATACTTGATATTTATTTTAATGTAGGCGTCGAATCAATCAAGTTTATGTGTTTATATTATACCAAGGTTTCTGGTACAAAAGATGATTTCTTACGACCAATACCAAAGAAAAGAGTATCCCTTGAGACGTAGGTCCTCCGTCTGCGCCCGCGCCGTCCCATTGCCGCTGGGAACGAACGATACATTAGGTTGATGACCAAACTCGTTCGACAGATACTTGACCCTCGTGTCGACGCCATTTTCACTCTCTGCTCGATAACTACCATCCTTTTTCCCATCCCTGTATCCATCTTCTTGGTGCTCGTGGGACGTAATGGTATAGTTGAATCGATAATAAATATCGTTCCCACGAAGAGAATCGATCATTTTAGATTGTTTCGTGTTTGGATCAGCTGCAGGTTTATTCGAAGACTTCTCTGCTGTGTTCACTGTGTTCACGATTCCATCTGGCAAACTTTTTCCTCTTCTTTCGTTAGACGACTCGTTGGGAGTCTCGGGTATTTTATTTCTTTCTTGAACCGATTTACTTGGAGAAATTGCTCCACCTGTGAAAATAATTATGTATATATATATACAGTATGATACTTGGAGACGATCGTCGTGAATTTTACTTCATCCCAATAATTTATTATTACGTATAACTTGTTACCAGGTTTCGTCACTTCGCTCAGCTTAGGACTGAATTTTGTCTTAAAAGCAATCGGTGTGTCAGTTGGAGCAGCTGGCGTGGTGTCATTAATTTTGTCTTGTTTTATAGGAATAGTGCAACTGCCACAAGCCTTTGCCACAGCTTCCACGAGCTTCTTCGCAGCTTCTGGTCGGTCTTTGAATATCTCCAGAGCATCCTTTACTTGTGAACATAAATTTAATTAATGTTCGACCAAACGATCTCTCGATCGTATAATAATAAATACCAGACGATTATTACAAGCTCAATAGGTTGGAGACTTACGACTGGCTATCTTTCTGTTTTTCATCCTGGTGATAATAAAATCATCATTTTTGTCTGTGGCGTATCCGGTTTCGTGATACACTCCATCCGCGGTTATGAATCCAAACTCTCCAGTGATGATCCCGTTAGCGTCTTGTTAAAATACTTTGATTTTATTAATCTGCCTTAACTCTTTGCAGCCAGATGAGTTAAACATTGTTCCACCTCAAAAAGCTCGAATTACCCATAATTTTTCGAATTAGCCATACTACATATTTCAAATTTTTCATTTGATTGGCAATACTATGAACCGACACTGAATGTTAAATAAGTGAAAAGACAAATTTATAGAAATGAAAACGCATCAGTAAGTTGTTGACATTTACTATATTATATAAATGTTGTAGTCGAGACCGAGACTATTGTCTTATACTTAAAAACAAATTATTCTACTTGGTCAGTTTCTAGGGAAGAGTCTCCCTGGACTAACATTTTCAATGTTTCAAGTTGCACAACTTTTACGTACCTTTTTTCTCGTATCTGTGCTGAAAGTCCACGATGTTGAACGAAAATTCGTACGGCCTGGTCTCGTTGCTCGTTTCCTCTGCCACCGCGAAATTCCTCCACACAATGTAACAAAGAACACACAGAACAGCAAAGTCCATCTTCCAGAATGGTTGCGACGTCGCGTCGTTTAGATTCAGATTACTCCCACGATGATCCTCGCGGTAAAGAATGTCATTCGGAGGTTGTTGCAACTTGAAGATCGCAGAACTGAATGGTGACGATCGAGAGTTGATGTAATCGAACGGAGAAAAATCTTTTCCCCGTCGAAAGATGGAAATGAGGATTCTCGTGGAGAAGAGGAAAACGCGACACTTGTCTTTCTTGTGTTTCGTATCATTGAATACATCTACAATATCAAGCGATCGTACAGTCACAACATTTTCTAGTGCGTGTATAAAATATACAAAACTGCATATATTTTGAAAGACATGAATTTTATTTATTTAACCTTTTCTATCTCGCAAACAAACCAAATACCATGTAATAAGAATAATAATGCATAATTTTGACATTCTTATAGAATTATTATTACATCATCTGCAAGCAAGATTCGCAATTTCTTCCATTTCTTCATCTTTCGTGCCCTCACCGATGCAAATAACACCACAGCGTTGGTTGTCAAACTCAAGTTTAGTGTCCGGTTATAAAATGTCGTAAGCAATTATTCACAGAAAAGTTACTACCGCAGTACTTGATCCAAGCCAAGTTTCCATAGAAATTCTTTTCTACCCGTTTCATAGCAATATTCTTATTAGAGGCATCGTGGCCTAGAGATTTTTCTCTTTGAAGTGAAAGAGTCGAGATAAATCGCTGAGAATTGAAAGGCTTGTAGGTAATCTAACAGAAGAATCAATGTTTCTAATGTCAGCATAGTATTCCTCGTACTGGACGTCCGCAGTTTCTTCAAAGGAAACGACGAGTCTCGGTGAAGGGACGATTAAGATTCAAGAAGTAATCGATGCTATTTCTATCTTGAAATCCAAAGGGGAATATTACTATTATTCCCAACGCTCAATGAATACACTCTGATATTTTTGATAGCCGCGATTCGACACTCGAGGAAATTTGAAACGCGATAATAGATTTCAGAAAAGAGTCGAATTCTTTCACGTCGACTAAAGTTCCAGGCATACAAAGATTAGACCTGGTTCGATTGCCGATTTGCCACGTATGCGTCGTGCATCGTGCATTTTGTAGTTTAGAAAACGGTATAGCGTTACGACTCGGTATGGCGACGAGTGTCGATACAGGATCGATGACGGTGGCATACTAACGATACAATGTACAAACGGAAGGTGGGTTTCTGGCACGTATACGCACCGCGAATATCGAGGCCTTGAGGAAATAAATTTGACATTGACAGGACTCTCTTTACGTGCTACAAGTACACGATCCGTGTACGCCATCGACGCCGACGCCGATGCCGACGGTTCACGGGTAGCTTGTAGGTTTGTTGTCGCTTGTCGCGTCCTTAGGAAAGCAGAACAATTTTCTTGGAATAATTAGCGGTGAAACATTACGATTTTTCTTTGTTTGCGATACAGGCTATTAATTTCTGAAATTGCTATTTGTGTAATTTACGTAGAGAATATTCCAAATCTGGCAGGTATATCAAATTGTTTAACTGTGATCAATTATATTTTCTTTATTATGAACGGTGATTACCTTATTATAAATGAATAAATTTTCGCTATTATAAGTAGCTATTACGAAGGACATTACCGTCTATATCCTCCTATATTGTAATATCCTCCTAACTACAAGAGGTAAGACACGATAATTGGATTTTGGGATAGGAAAAGAAATGGTAATATTAGGAATTTCGTTTCACTCTGTCGCATCGTAATCGATCAGGATTATAATACAAATTTCGATTTCGACGTTGAATTAAACGGCAGAGAAAAGGGAAACTCAGCACGTCGTCGGAATGGATCGCCACAGAATCTGGACCGAAATCCCGTTACTTGAGCCCGAACTAGGTCACTAAATATCACACCATTGGTTCTTTACCGGTCACTTCCTCTAGAACCGATTATTAATCGAATAATCGATCGAGCGTCGAATGGTTACGCGGAGATTGCATAATGGTCTTCGTTGATTGCACACTTTTATGCGAGTGTTCTGAATTGTGCAAAATTAAGCTAAATTGCTTTCTCCCTTATCGGCTAATCATTTCACGGTCTATTTCCTATTACAGACACGCAATTTCTTGCAAGAAGAGTATCGAAAGAGTACACATTATAAATATCAGTATTTTTTTAATTAGGGTCACATTATAAATATCAGTATATTTTTAATTAAGTGACCAATCAATTCCTATGTAAACACAAATATTTCAAGTATTCATTGAACAACTGGATACGATCGAGGGAGTCAATAATCAACGCTTAATCTAAAAAATGGTAATGGTAATTAACTATTCGTTTCGACTACCATTATTGATAGCTCGCTTCAGTGTTCTAAAACTGTTCCACTGTGCTATCGTAAAGAAATTATACGTTGTGAGGATGGTTACAATAATTTCAGAAAAGTGTTGTCCTTTTACAATAAATATAATACATATAAAATATATTCATATGTGTAATAACAATTACTTTTCCTCCTAACTTAAGTAACTCCTTTCATATTTCTATACCTTTTTCATTATATAGTAAAAGAAAAATTTGTCTGCAACATTATTGTACCATTCCTCATAATGCGCTATCAAATTCCATTATCATATTATACTGAAACAATGTTAAAATACTAAAGAGGTTCGCAATTATTATTGCTCGTGACTCCTTAACAACATGCCTCCCAACCAGCCCTCGTCGTCGTCTTCCGGTTGATGATAACTGTTATAGTAATGATCGTGGTATTCGGGTCTATGGACCACTACCACTTCTTGTCGTTGCGAATTCCTGAATATGTTGAAGAGTACCATGAGCAACGCAAGCTTTCCCACAACGATACTTCGCAGCAAACTGAATTTTATGGATGCCAATGTGGCTGGTAGCGACATTAACTGAAAAATAAATTTTATATTTTATATTTTATATTCGACTATTACTCTCAGACGAGATTAAAATCCGAATTTATTTTCTAATATTGATACACTTTCCCAAAGTTCCCTCGGAAACGATACTTATTCTCGAATTTCAAAAACGAATACAGAGATGGAAAATATTTATCATCGATACAAACCTGCATCATTACGGGCGCCATCATCAACGCCATTCCAATCTTCTTTAGAGTGCTCTTTTTCAATTTCAATCTGCCGTTGTTCCTTGTCTGCTCTACTTCGTTTCCTAAAAACGAGAATTATGAGTGCACTGCATCCATTCTGGAACCAATTGATATTTCACGGTGCCACGTACCCTTAAACAGTGTGGACATTCTTATCACGATGCTCGTTTTGTCATTCGCGACGCACACCATCACTCCGCGACAAATATTAAACTGTAGAGTTTCGTTTAATCCCTCCGAGTTCTTTTTCTCCTCGGCTCGAGCGAATCTGACGAACGCAATCGCGAAACAGATCCACCAGAATGTTGCTTCCGCTCCATTCATGGCTTCGTAAGTGGCGGGCGACTTAGAAATCCACTTTCCAAAAGGCGAAATAAAACTGATAAAATCGATTCTATGAGAGTCCAGACTCACGTATCGGATTTCTACAACTATAAAGTATTCATTACATACTTCCTTTCCCGCTTCTTTATATTATTTTATTTAATAATTAAATTAAAGATTTTATGTATTTATGAATCTTAATTATAACGTGCCAATATTACTGACCTTCTAATTTACACATGTTCAGGGTAAACACGTGGTAAACAGTTCAAGGGATTTTTCTACAGATGAAAATACAGAAGAAAATCAAGTCCTGTTCTCTTACCTGTAGATACCCATTCGCCTTAATCTCCGAACCGTCACTCGTAGAATAAAAATCGTTTGATAGTATAATTGTTGCTCGATATTTTCGAAGGTAATCACAGCCCACTTCCAAGCAGCGTATTTGTTGCATTTTTCTTGGCCGTTCGTTTAATACCGCTCGTTATTGGAGCACAAACGAGTGCCTCGCCCCGTTACCCACTCACTCGCAATCCCATTCGTAATTCTACGGTATTTGTCGGCAACTTTTTCCTCACTTTCAGAGACGCTGTCAGATCAGCTCTCAGAGCAAACACATGTTTTTCATTTCGACACTCGTCTGGCACTCGAGCTTCGCATACAGTCGATAGAACAGTGAATAATTTTTTCCTCCAGGTGAATCGTAATCGACTAGGGAGACGCGTGCATGCATCAGATAGGCGAGGAGGCTACTGGCTGTGATCTTCCGAGCGGAGAACAGACATTTTCCTTCTTCGCTCTACGCTTACCCCACTAGAGCCAGGAAACTGGGTCTGTGCAGCCTGCTGATGCACTCCTGTCATAAAAGGTGCAATGTGTGCGCGCTGGCGGCGGTGGTCGCTAACTCCGGCAAGTTAAGCCGATCTTGACAACCGGAAAATTCGGTTCAACTCGTTGAAAACGGTCCTTTCGATTTCGATTTTCAACGGTCTCGTTAGATTACACTGAAACGCACAGTTGGACGTCATTTGTATAAGTCAAACTTAAAAATGATCACTAAATTCCCCTAAAAGGGTAAATGCCACTGACACAACAGTCTACATGACAAAGAATTTAATAAATATTTTCTACGACGATACATGTAGTTTTATAAACAGGTAGACGTACGACGAGCGGTGTATTCGTTTTTTATACAAATAAATTAATGGTAACGTGAGGTAATCACGGTTGTTCCTTAAACGTAGATGTCTGCGATTTTGGTTTAACAGTTTGGTCCAGACCACAAGGCGAGAGACACTTTCGGTATCTCGATCTCCTAGTTAGGGCCTACTGACACTAAATTCATATTAAATTAAATTAAATTAAATTAAATTCGTCTAGTTATTCGTTAATACTTGTACAGGGTATCCGGAAAATCGTGGCACAGTCAACCAGAAGAATGAACATTTTCATAAATAGTCTGCGCATTTCTTGTACTAATTAAACGTATATTAATATAAGAAACCCATACAATATGTATGTAGGTAAATATTTCTTAAATCAATATAGTTACATTGCATACGCTTTACATGTGTTTATCACTTTCATACGCACCATAAATGCGTAAAACTGCAGGCTATTCGTGAAAGTGCGAGTGAAAGACTTGGAATAAATTTGTTTGTGCGGTTACACGAGTGGCAAGGAAACTTACTTTGAACGTGCAATTATTTGCTATTTGTCTGAAAATACGTAACGTTTAAGATAGATATATATTATCTCATATATTATCTCATATGTATTATTTTTATACAGTATGCATGAATATATAATTATTTTCAAATTTAAATAAAATTTTATTTGTTTTAATTTTTATTAAAATAACGAGTAAAATTATCATTGCAAGTGCTTGAGAGCCAAAATGTGTTAAAATTAATTCACTGGAACTCTATTCACCCCAAAAAGTAATTCACAGAGGTTTACAGATTTGTTGATATCAACGTCCTAGAAATTCCAAGTCATAGCAGCCACGTCTTCGAGTACGCCACTGTTTACATTTAACAGAATCCACGGTATCCCATCCTCGCGATCAAAGTAATTTTCCTTTACAACAACTAAACCACTAAAATTCATTCTACATTCTTTCGTTCCGTATCGCTTCTGGTAGACTGCGCTATTATTTACAGGACGTCCCCAGATCACTTGCTTTGGTTCGCAGGGTGTGCCATCGTGGGCTAAATGCGTGATACGTTCAAAGGTGTTTCGATTCGCTCAATCGTCGAGCGCAAACCGCAACAGCAAGAGAAATAGATGATGCATGAACAGACCAAGAAAAAAAAAAAGAAAAAGCAACGATGACGGACGTAATGTAACGTGCGTATAGCCTGGTTTCGTTTGTGGTCGACGATGAAACAGTTTCTTATCCGCGGGAGGAGCAGGATGCTCTCGAAGCGTTTCTCCATTATCCTCTGTAATAATAGTGTTCCTCGTCTCCTGGACCGCTGTGCTGCATCCAGTCGCTGTATGCTTGCTGGTGACCGACTGGTAGACTGTTGTGAACGTGCACGTGGATGGGTTGAGCCGACCAGGATGGCGGTTGCTGCTGGCCCCAACCAGTCGAAAACTTTGCGATTATCGTGCTTATCTTGAGCATCAACAGTGTGGCGCCTAAAATTCAATTAATTTGTATGGAATTCATGTTCGATGGAAGATTCAACGAGTCTAAGGATATTTAAATGATATGTTTTTATATTAAGAAATGTGGGATTATTGTAGCTATATTGAACACTAGCAGTATGGCACCAGAATGAAATTAAGTTGTATGGAATTTCGTGTTTAATCTCAGATTCAAAGATTCTAGGGGCATTCGTTAAAAAACAAAGTCGTAGAGCTCCCTTTTGCAACCTTTTACTCGAGTGACTTTAGAAAAAGGTTTCAAATACTTGGGTCAAATTGAGCAACCTGGTAAACTTAGTGCTAATTCAGTCACAAAAAGGTTAAATAAGGACACCAGTATCATTATTAAATTTAGCGTTGTACGAACGTATTATAAAAGAAAGTAGGTCTACCGGTAAAATTTGTGTACCTAACGCACATCGTCGACCCGTGAAGAGGTCTTATCGTCAAAATGGGTCGTCGATGTCTCCTGATCGCGTATGCGTACAGTGCGCGCTAACAAAGGCTCACCGTTATCTTTTCGTCAAGCATGATCGATTTAACCCCCATCACGCGTACTTACCAATAAGCAATCCTTTCAACGAGATCACCGTCAACACCGTCATCATGGTCATCATCACTCCCATTTTGTACACCATCGGCATCAGCATGAATTGAATTCGCTTCACGCCAAAAGTACGGGCTTGCCTTCCAGTTGATTCTGAATATTCAAAAATTTGATTAGTCCCCAAAATAATTAGAAAACGAGTTAGAGCTTTTGCATTCATGCGCCCTAGATTAATTGGTACTTTGATGATTAAAATAAAGATCAATATTTAGAAATGCTTCTATAGCATTTGTACAGTTTCATTAAATCTCTATATTGGAAAACAGAAATTGAAAAGGAAAGTGATGCGTACAGAAATAAAAATTAACAATAGTGCTTTATATATATGTATTATCTTATGAGTGGACTAATATTTCTTCGTTTTTCATTTTGAATTAATACGGCTTTTCCTACAGAAAACCGTGATTTTTCAGTGTAAGTCAGAGATTAGCTGTACTACTAAAGTTCGACGCATCTAAACAACGAAAGTGAAACCGAAACGATACAAACTGAAAATTAAAAGCACCAAGCACCCAAAATACATCTTCGTTACTCGTGACAGCATCGAATCGCTGAAATATCATTCCAAATACCGTTCCTCGTGGAAATACTATCTAATTTGTTCCGTAAGCGTCGAACTCACCTGGACCCTTGCTCTCGGTACCGAATAAATCGTCCAGGAATTCCCTGAGCGCCCGCACGTCAGGATCCACCGCCTCTTGGTCGTAAATCGGGAAAAGTTTTGTGACTTTGGCGCGTCCAGCTTCGTCTCCTCTCGCGGTCACGACGCGTGCGCTCTCGACCCTCGGGCTTTTCGAAAAAGTGCATGCCAATAACACGCACGTCAGCGTCCAGCCAATCGGCCGCATTGTCGAACCGGTTGCTGCAGCGATCACGTGATTCTCTTCATCGACGCACAATGGATACACTGGGAGAACGAATTTCCGTGGGCCAGGGACGATTTTTCGGCGGCGGTTGCCAGAAGAACACACGATGTTAATCGATCCCGCACGAGCCGCAGTGTGATTCGGACGAACGGCCACGGCGCCGTTCGAACTAAAAAGATCGGTCGGCGTGTGCGCGGAGGATCTGCGCAGCACCTCGAATTTCGTGACAGGCGCCGCGTGCGCGCTGGATCTGCGCAGCGCCTCGAATTTCGTGGATGCGTGCGCGGGGGCGAGCGGTACTTGAAACACTTTTCCATAGAACGCTTTGTGTCGCCTCTATGCTTTTCCGGGCACGTATTTTTCATTTTGCACGGCAACGTTCTTTGTTCGTGACCCAAACGGATCGGCTGGAAGCCACGCCGCGTTCTCTTTGTGATTTTTCGTGTATCGGACGATTGCACCATGTCCCACTTTCTATATCACTGCCACGGTCGCTGTCCCGTAATTGCAGCGCGCACACTCTCCTCGACTTGGTTCGGATCGCCCTTTGAGTCATGCTGACACGTACGTCGGGCCACTTTTTCACTTCCCGACCTACGAGGAAGAAAGGTGTCGCGGATCGTGAATTTTGTTTAAAGAAATGGGTAGTTCCAGACGGAGTGGTCGCGTTTTTAAGAGGAGGAAACGTTCTAATCGAATGTAGACGTGTATGTGTAGTCTTGATTCGAGAAGATTGAATGTGGCGATAGTCTTGATCTTGTAAATAGAGGGCTGAATGTAAATTGAAAATTATATTTTATTTTTGCATTGCTGGTTTTAAATTGCTGGTAGGGGGATTACATCTCCAGGAAACTATAGACTGAGAATGTATAATGAGAGAAAGTGAGCCTTAGGGGTGCAATTTTATAAGTATTTTCAATTAATTCATTTTTAACGTCAACCACTCTCTTTTCTCTGTAATCGCTTTCTTTTTAATAATTCGGAAATAAGGAACTACTCAATACGATACGATTTATTTAAAATAGTTCACATGCTTGTTTGTTTGCATTCATAACTATACACACAGAAATAGATAAAGCTTAAATGATCGATTTCGTTATTTTTGCTAATGTAAGAAATATAAGGGAATAGAAGATCAAAGGACAGATGAAAAGATGTTTTTTAAATACTTAACAATTATAAAGAAATGTGATTTAGCACAGGCTTCGGTTGGAACGGCAATGGTTAAAAATATTCCCTATTCTCTGAAGCTACTTTTATAAAATACTTGATTTCATAATTAACACGTCGGTGAGCTGACGAACGTGTCATACCATACCATATTTCGATACAGGCACACTCAGCATGATTTCGCGTCTTTCTACCAGCTTCCATCGAGGCTTTACCGACCCTCCAGATTCTCTGGCCCAATCGAAACGGAAAGTTCCAGACGACAATAAAATCTCGGCTTAAATTGCTTGGAGCGGACAACGACCGTCGGTTACCGAGCAAAATAACCGATTCCAGCCTGGAATCGCACTTTCGTCTCGAGTTATCGGTAGCGAAATCGGCGAAAGCGTTGTGTACGTGCCTTAAGAGCGGCCACTCGACGAATAAAAGGAAGAAATCTAGTACAGGTTTACTGGATCGGCTTTGCTCGGTGACTCTGGCAACGAACGAGAGAAGAAGAGACCGAACATGGAAACGAAGAGGTGGCCATCTTGGAAAATAAAGCGCGCCGTAAAAATTCTTCACCCTCCCTGCAGCATGGAGCTTCTCTGGATCCCCCCTAGTCTCGATTCCTTCAAGGACTAAAAATACAACCCCTTTGCGCCAGAACCAGAAAGACCGTATTAAAGACAAACCTGAAACCTGATCTGCACTTTGTTCCAGCTGCATCTTCCAGTCTCCACGACCGCTTCTTCCCCCGCGGCCGTTTTGCTCCCTTTTCTTTCGACTCTTGGGCTCTCGATCGCGGCGAAGGCTTCGGAGGATTCGGAGTTCGTTCAACGTGCTCGTTGCGAATCACATCAAGATCGCAACGAAACAATTAATTGTTCGAATATTTCCCTGTCTCGAAGCAAAGTTTCTCTTTATAGCCTGCAAATTGCATTCTTCGTCGACACATTAACACTTAAACTATTCACTGTCGAGACATATTTCATCAATACCTATTACACATGGTATCGAGTTGTCCGAAAAGTTGGTGGCAATTTTTTAGAAAAATTCAAAGGCACATTTGAATCTTGGCATATATTTATCGAATTACATAGAGTAAGTGTAATAACATTGCAATTGGTCTCAAGTTGACGAGTTTGTCGTTATAGAGTAGACTAAATCGTTTTGATCGCGCTATTTTGCGGGGAGCTACGGGACGAGTGTAACGACCTATGACAAGGTGACCTTGAATCGGAGAGATGCAAAAACAAGCGAGATCGACCGCAATCGTTCTCGCGATTCCGCGGAGTAATTTCTTTCGATTTAGTGCGTTGGTCTCGATCAATCATTTCCAGAGAAGTGTTGAATCGAAGTTTCTCTGAAATGATCAGAAATGGGTAAGACTTGGTGGCATTAGAGAAAAACGTAAACTTAATGGTCCGGTAATATTAATATTTACTTAATATTTGTTGTACTCAAAACTAATGTACGACCTAGCACGCTATGTGATAAATGTAGATGTTGGAAAGGAAGAGAATAAAACAAGGTTACGTAAAAAACGATTGAGAGTAAAAAAACTGAAGATGAGGAAGCTATGACTTTATGCAATTCGTTCTTTCGTAGAGAAGATAGAGAAAATGTTTATTTAATCCTATAATTGGAAATTTAGAAAAAGCGAGCCACCTATGGTCGCCAGGTGCATTATTCTCGGGTGCAATCTCTACATATACACGTCTAAAAAATATATTTCTCAAATCAGTGAAAAGGTGATCAGAAAGTGTTGAAATATAATTTTCAGTTGAAACATTGTTCCTTATATTCTTCTTGGTGGCAACATGTTCCTTCCTCAAACTGGAAGAGTAGAACGGAGGCTCGCGCGAGTAGAGTTTCGCATAAAAGTCTGAAAATCGCAAGAATCTTGATTCCCTGTATCGATTAACCGGGACTCGTTCGAAGCTAGTGGATTCGTGTAGCGTCCACAAGTGTTCTGTAACCTAGGGGACGACTTTTTCCGCGTATCAGCGAACGTACGTCGACCCAACAGAGCCCGTGAATCCGAGGAAGAGGCTCGAGTAGACAGAAATGTTGAGCTGAATATGAGCATCGTGTGGTCTCATGTGTAGAGGTGCATCACGATACTTTTCGAGCACCACTGCCTCAAGGCTAATTGGCTCATTACTGTCCTGGCCGCAAGAAGAAACAGAGCTGAATACTGGTAGTGGTTGGCTGCAGTACACCAACCTGATTCAAATGATTAACCCTTTCAAACCTGAATTCGTTTTTCTCGTATCAATGTTATTTAATGTTTAGGAACCAGCTACTCGAATATTAGCCTAGAAAATATTTTCGACTGTAATTAGCACTCAAGCAACAATGAGTTTGTCTGGTCTATCGCACAAAGAGGCTAGGTTTTATAATAGCAATTTTAGCTGTACCTCGCCTCTCACGTATACTTATTTCAGTTTCGCGCACGTATATTCGGGTATATATGTATGTATACTTTTGTATTTGTGTGTGCAAAATAAAAGAGTTTAATAACAATAATAATACATTGGAAATCGAATAAGAAGAAAACATCATAACGTTTATGATTTATGTTTATGATCTAGTCACAGCTTAATTTTGAAGGCAAGTGGAACGCTCAACCTTGAAGTTACTTAACAAAATTACACCCTATACTGTAGTAGTATAGTAGATAGGAAAGCAGGCAATAAGAGAGGTACAGGTTCCACAGCCATCAGAATAATCAAGGATATCAACGCAATAAAGAAGAAAATCGTAAACGTTTACTTGGTCGAATCCGCGAATCTTTCATTCGTCGTTTTCGACGGCTCGTAGGAAGCGTCGTCGTACCGAACGTATCTACCCGTTAGACCGTGAACCCGATCCACTGGGAATCCCGTGGGGGCACCCGAGAGGGGGCAATGTAAAAATGGGAATGCCCCGATGTTGCCTATCCACACAGTCTCGCGATTCCCCGCGTCTCGTTGGTTGAACGTTTCCCGTACATACACTCTCACGGTCATCTTCGTTCCCCGCTGCCCGGACGATGGTATGTGTATTACCATACCTCTCCGGCATGGGTGACCATAGACCGGCTCAGAAGTGGCCGAGACATTCGCCTCTCGACCGCGACCATGAGAGCACTCAACTCGCGACGGCCACAGCTAACGAGTATCCTCTGTCTCTTCCCTCGTTCCCTCCTCTGGCTTCTTCTGCTGCTGTTCGTTTTTCACGGCGGTCGAGCGCGCAGTGTACCCCGCGATGAGGAGAGTCCGGTCCAGCCCGGGGCCAAACATTCGGCGATCGAGGACAAAGCCGACATTGCACCAAAGGAACCGCAGGTGAACAGTGCGCAAGGGGAACCAGTGCAAGGGAAGCTCGCGCCGGAAGAGAGCCATGGCGCTGAGGACGAAGAGCCTGAGATCGAGCCTGAGAAACCGAGGGACGTCGATGGGAAGATTTCGCAGCCAAAGGCCGAGGAAGGAGACAAGTTCGACGAGTCGCCGAGAGAGAACGTCTCGGCGTCCCTTCAGGATCTCGACCCTGAGAAAGAGAAAGAGAAGAGAATCGACCTGGCCGATGACGAGCCATCGAGCGATGGAGACGCCAAGATCGACGTCGATGCCGGGGACGGCGACGCCGACGCCGACGCCGACGCGCTGAAGCAGGAGGACGAGGAGGCCAGCGTGGCTAAGAAGAGGAGGAGAAACGACGTGGCTCTTATAGGTAAGTCTGACCTTGGAGAAACCGACGGGGCTCCAGGGCTAGAGAAGATCGAGGACGAAGGAATTCGGAGGTTCGACGTGCAAGTGGACGGGGAAGGGGTTGGTCCTTCGCGAGAGAATGTAAACAACTTGGAAGATAACGATGCTGGTGGACGAAAGAGGTTAGTAGAAGCTCAACAAGTCGCTGAGCCTAAAGTAGAAGAGGATGGGCCGGAAAAAGAAATCGACGCGAAACAA